TAAAAAAGATAATAAGAATGAAAAGATAAAAGATTCAAAGAAGTATTTAAATTTATAAAAATAATAAAAAATAATTGTTTATTAATAAAAATAAGATAAATAAATATATTGGGACACAACCATAAACAATAAAAATTAAAAAAGACAAATAATAAAAATATAGGAACACAAAAAAGGACCTTTGCCTAAAGAAAAAAAAAATAAAGAAAATGAAAAAAGTCAGATATATTTTTAGAAAGAAAATAAAAATTAATAATAAAAAACCAGCAGTCAGGGAAAGCTTGCTGGAGTGGGCTTTTAATTTTTTGGAAAAAATCTGTATGTGTGACGTGGGAATTTTTTTGTTTGTTTTTTTTGAGGCACAGCCTCGCTCACAGCAGCCTCCAACTCCTGGCCTCAAGCGGGCCTCCTGCCTCGGCCTCCCTCCCGAGTAGCTGGGACTACAGGCATGCGCCTCCACGCCCGGCTCGTTTTTTCTATATATTTTTAGTTGTTTGGCTCATTTCTATGTTTTTTTTTAGTAGAGACGGGGTCTCGCTCTTGCTCAGGCTGGCCTCCGACTCCTGACCTCGAGCGATCCTCCCGCCTCGGCCTCCCAGCGTGCTGGGATTTCAGGCGTGAGCCTCCGCGCCCGGCCTCCACACCCGTTTTGAACACAGACATGAACCATCCTTGCATTTTGTGTGTTTCCCTGACAGCCCAGCTTGCAGATTCTTCTAGCTCATTCCATGAAGAACGTGCGGAGGCCCACGCCTGTCATCCCGGCACTCTGGCAAGGAGGCTGAGGCAGGAGGCTCGCTCGAGGTCTGGAGCTCGAAACCAGCCTGAGCAAGAGCGAGACCCCGTCTCTACTAAAAAAATAGAAAGAAATTAATTGACCAACTAAATATATATATACAAAAAAACGAGCCGGGCGTGGAGGCGCGTGCCTGTCGTCCCAGCTACTCGGGAGGGAGGCCGAGGCAGGAGGCTCGCTTGAGGCCAGGAGTCGGAGGCTGCTGGGAGCGAGGCTGAGGCCACGGCGCTCACTCCAGTCCGGGCGACACTGTCTCGAAAAGGAAATAAAAGCGCGCCCCCTGGCTCCTTTCCGCGCTGTGCGGCATCCGGGTATTTCTGCCCTTGGAGAACGGGGTTTTGAGGCATGAATAGGAGTTCGCCGCGCAGTGACCCGAGCACACGGGGCGTGCGCGCTCTCCCCGGGCAGGGGCGGCTTCCTGTCCTTGTCCCCCGATGCTTGACGAGTGGCCCGGGCAGGGTCGGGGACCCCGGGGACTCTCTGCGTGAGGCGCTGGCGGGCGGAGTGGAGGCCGGGCCTCCGTCAGGGAGCCTCGCCCTCCTTTCCCCCTCCAGGACCTCGCTGGGAGGCTCACGCCCGCCCGCCCTCCCATTCCCCCAGGGACTCAGTTTCCCCATCTGGAAAGACGGGCGCGAGCCGCTTCCTCTTCCACCCTCCCCCCACCCCACCCCGGCCTCCAGTAGAGGCTGAAGCAGCGAGACGTCAGGCCGGCGTGCGACTCCCGTGCGCGCGGGAAAAGTGGGGGGGAAACTGAGGCACGAGTTCCCTGAGCCTCGCACCGCCCGGGTGGGTGTGACTTACACGGGGGCCAAAGCCCTTCCAGGTTGGAGGCCCGGGGCGGAGGCACAGAGGCACATGGAAGCCCGGAGGCGGCAGAGCCCGGCTGGGCCGGGGCGTCTTAACCTGTCACCGGAGGGCCAAAGGGAGGCGGGGAGGCGATCGGCGGCCGGGGTTCCGAGAAATGCGAAAGTGAGGCCGGCCCCCCTGGAGACTCCTGGAACCTTCTAGAAGGAGCAGCCTCCCTCCCGCCCACCAGGGCCTCTGACCCCACGGGGCTGGACGCCCTCAGGGGACACTCGGGCCTCCCGGCCGGCCTCCAACGCCGCGAGGCTCCGGCCTCTACTTTTTTTTGTTTTTTGGGGGTGAAGAAACTTCACTCGAGGCCGGACCGGCTTTATTGGTCGTTTGTCACCTGCCTGTCACTTGTGCCCCCCGCGGGGAGGTCAGGCTGCAACACTTGGGGTCACTGGCCCCCCCCCGGGCCCGGTCCCACAAGGCCACGTGCGGTGCGGGAGGGCCGGCCTCTGGTCCCTCGTGCTGGGAAGGGAGGCCGAGGCAGGAGGATCGCTGGAGGCCAGGAGGTGGAGGCTGCCGCGTGCGCGAGTGAGGCCCGTCCTCCGTCCCGTCCCCGATTTGGGGACTTGCCTGTCGTCCCCGACACGGACACGGCGTGGGGACCGCGGGGAGCCCCCACGGCCTCGACTTGGGGGGGGGGGCGGTAGCAGGGTCAAAGGTCGCGGCCTTTCACCCCTGGGGTTCCTCGGTGGCCTCGGGGAAGGTCGCCGACCCCCGAGGGGCCACCACCCCGCCCGCCCGCCCGAGCGTTTGGTCCCAGAAGCCCAGAAAGAAAATTCTAGGCACGAGTGGAGGCTGTCCAGGGAGGCCTCCACAAAAGGGGTCGAGGCCCGCTGCCTCCAGCAGGACGAGGAGGCCACCGCCCGGCTCACGAGGCTGGAGGCCCCCGACCTCGTCCCGTCAACAGGGAGACGGTGGGGGGACTGTCCCCGCACACGGCGGGGACGACGGGGACCCACGAGCCCGGCCGGGGCGGCCTCCAAAGCCCCCGCGGG